TGTTGGCCTTTCACCTTTGTTTAATGAGACAGAAAGGCTCAGTACCCTACCAGACAGCTTTACCCTCGGTGCTTGGAAGTATGCCAGCTCATTAAGAGCCTTTGAGAACATGAGTTTTGGAGCAAAAAATGGTTAAAATGTGATACCTTGATTAAAAGTACTAATATTTTAATTCTTATAATGCTTCTAAATCCAGACGATACAAGTTTAGTCTAGGCTAAATAGCCACAGAGTTATCTTTTTAATTTCTTATAGTTACAGGTGTCTTTGACAGTTCTGCTCCCTGCAGTTTGCTGTTCATTCTGCACACAGCTCTAAACAACGACGGGAGTTTTTCTGTCACCTTCTGACCCTCGGACCTTGCTGTGAGCAGTTTTTCCTTGGAATACATCTAGCAGAAAAACTGAAGTCCTTCAAAGATAAACAGATTTTTTGAGGTTTTCTGCAGCAAAAATATCTAAAGCCATCTGCACAGTTTTGGACTTCAAGCAGCATTTACTGGGAACACTATGAGAATCCATTACAGGAGGAATATAACTTCATGTATTGTTAAAATTTCCCTCCATCTTCTGTGATTCAGAAAAGAAATCATCAACGAATCTTTCCCAGGAATTTAAACTGGCTGTTGTAAGAGACAGTTGAAAATAGGCAGTTACAAAGGGTCATAAAGGATGCCGCACAGCATTTAGTTCCTATGCTCCACTTATCTGGAACAAACTTCCAGAAAACTGTAAAAGTGCGGAAAGCCTGGATTCCTTTAAATCAAGACTAAAAACACATTTGTTTAGGATTGCCTTCCACTGTTCTAGTTCAACAGTTCAACTACAACATATTTTCTTTAGTCCAACTGTTTTTAAAATTTCTTTTTTGTTTCTGCATTTTTTATTTTTTCATTTTTTTTTTATTTTAGTTATTTTTTTATTTTTTCCTACTTGCCTTTATTCTGTTTTATCTTCCTGTATTTTAATCATGTTAAGCACTTTGCATTGTCTTTGTACTGAATTGTGCTATACAAATAAATTTGCCTTGCCTAGCCTTAGCAACAACCGATGGATTCATAGACTTTAATGTACATTAAAATACCAGAAATGTCATATCACCGTTACTAAATAAAATTATATTGCGATATATATAATTGTCATATATATGACATTGAATTATAGTTCATTCCTATTCAAAAATGAGTCTGAATCTGGTAGGAGTACAAACTATTGGGGCTTAAATGGATCTCTGTTCTGTTCAAACTGTGGTTTAAGTTCAATCTTTGGTCCGCAAATCTCTTTTAGTTGTGCTTTTATTAGAGCTATGAAAAACATCAGATGGCAGTCGTCATAACAGCTTAATCTGTGCGTAGGATTAATGCTATGGATATCAGTACTACAGGTGCTGGTCATAAAATTAGAATATCATGAAAAAGTTGATTGATTTCAGTAATTCCATTTAAAAAGTGAAACTTGTATATTATATTCATACATTACATACAAACTCATATATTTCAGATGTTTATTTTGTTTAATTTTGATGATTACAAATGACAACAAATGAAAATCTCAAATTCATCATATCAGAAAATTAGAATATTGTGAAAAGGTTCAAAATTGATGGCCCCTGGTGCCACACTCTAATCAGCTAATTAACTCAAACCACCTGCAAAAGCCTTTAAATGGTCTTTCAGTCTAGTTCTATAGGCTACACAATCATGGGGAAGACTGCTGACTTGACAGTTGTCCAAAAGACGACCATCGACACCTTGCACAAGGAGGGCAAGACACAAAAGGTCATCGCTAAAGAGGCTGGCTGTTCACAGAGCTCAGTGTCCAAGCACATTAATAGAGAGGCGAAGGGAAGGAAAAGATGTGGTCGAAAAAAGTGTACAAGCAAGAGAGATAACCGCACCCTGGAGAGGATTGTGAAACAAAACCCATTCAAAAATGTGGGGGAGATTCACAAAGAGTGGACTGCAGCTGGAGTGAGTGCTTCAAGAACCACCACACACAGACGTATGAAAGACATGGGTTTCTGCTGTCGCATTCCTTGTGTCAAGCCACTCTTGAACCACAGACAGCGTCAGAAGCGTCTAAAGAGAAACAGGACTGGACTGCTGGTGAGTGGTCCAAAGTCATGTTCTCTGATGAAAGTAAATTTTGCATTTCCTTTGGAAATCAAGGTCCCAGAGTCTGGAGGAAAAGAAGAGAGGCACTTCATCCACGTTGCTTGAAGTCCAGTGTAAAGTTTCCACAGTCAGTGATGGTTTGGGGTGCCATGTCATCTGCTGGTGTTGGTCCATTGTGTTTTCTGAGGTCCAGGGTCAACGCAGCCACATACCAGGAAGTTTTAGAGCACTTCATGCTTCCTGCAGCTGACCAACTTTTTGGAGATGCAGATTTCATTTTCCAACAGGACTTGGCACCTGCACACAGTGCCAAAGCTACCAGTACCTGGTTGAAGGACCATGGTATCCCTGTTCTTAATTGGCCAGCAAACTCTCCTGACCTTAACCCCATAGAAAATCTATGGGGTATTGTGAAGAAGAAGATGCAATACACCAGACCCAACAATTCAGAAGAGCTAAAAGCCACTATTAGAGCAACCTGGGCTATCATAACACCTGAGCAGTGCCACAGACTGATCGACTCCATGCCACGCCGCATTGCTGCAGTAATACAGGCCAAAGGAGGCCCAACTAAATACTGAGTGCTGTACATGCTCATACTTTTCATGTTCATACTTTTCAGTTGGCCAACATTTCTATAAATCCTTTGTTTTTATTGGTCTTCAGTAATATTCTAATTTTCTGATATGATGAATTTGAGATTTTCATTTGTTGTCATCTGTAATCATCAAAATTAAACAAAATAAACATCTGAAATATATGAGTTTGTATGTAATGTATGAATATAATATACAAGTTTCACTTTTTAAATGGAATTACTGAAATCAATCTACTTTTTCATGATATTCTAATTTTATGACCAGCACCTGTATATGTACCCATGAGCAGGGACTAAACTTGGTGCTCAAGATTGTTGTAGAAATCTGTGAATAAGTAAATAATTTCTTGAAATAAGTGCATTTACCCTTAATTTGAGTAGGTAAATAAGCCCCCCCCAACCAAAAAGTCACAGAAAGAGGTATGGAGGCTCTAACGATAGAAACAAAAAATGAGTAATGACAAGAATTCATTGCAACCATTACCATCATTACAATATTTATTAGTAATATCACAATTTCGTTTTTTTTATAGATAAGATGTTGGTGCCAATAATATCCAAGTTATAAGCAAAGCTAGTTTTTCATGCATTTTAGGACCATTTGAAGTAGGATTTCAGACTTGAAAGCTGGAGTATCCTTCACCAACTGTAGCTCAAAATCAAATAGAAATCAGGTATATTTAAAAGTTAGTTAAAGCTAAATGTACAGCTTATATGTATAGTTCTTACATGGATTGCTGTTGCATTGAATTAGTGAAAAAGACTTGTTTTTTTTAAAACATATTCCTTAAAACCCTCACATATTTAAATAAAAGCATTACTAAATCTGGATGAGCTGGTCTCTCCGCTCATTAACATGTCCCACTGGTTTTCCAAGCTGCAAGTACCATCTTAAAATAAATGAAGAATTTCTTGAAATAAGTGTATTTACTCTTAATTTAAGTAGGCATATAAGATGATCTGCCAATGCAGAGTGTTTTTACCCATAAAATAATATCATTAGATATTAGGACAATATGATTGTTTTTATTGTAAATGCATTGTAAAAGTGCTTCAGTTATCCGCTTAATTTAAGAGAAAAATGCATGGATTTTAAGAACAAGATACTTGCCTTTAATTTTTTTTGCAGCGTTCTAATGTCATGTCAAGTTAAAATACAGATTAGCTATTTTAAGCGAAACTGTTAGGTTGAGCTGCATGATATGAGGCAAATATAAGATTGCTAAATTATTTTAAAATATTGCTATGACGGTGATGATGCATCAAAGCAAGGACAAGTTTATGTAGAGCATATAGCACCTTTCAGTAGCAAGACGACGGTCCTTTCTTTTTGAGGTGTAGACAAAAAAACAGACAAGAATTTAAATGCAAAACTCAGTCATTGCAGTATTTCACATGATGAGTTCATCGTTTGGGTCCATTCACTTTTACAAACTGCAGGAGATGATCGACATTAATCATGAGCAAAACTGACTTTCTGGTACAGCATTTTATTTTTTAGAGTAGTACAACAGCTAAAACTGGAAACTTTATATGCATAGACCTTGGATGCTAATCCTGAAGATATTTAGAATATCAAATTCCCATGATTTAGTTTGTTCTTATTCACAGTAATCAGTTAGAGCTGTGTTCAAACTGAAGTTATAAGGTAACAGAATCATTTTAACAGCATAGAAACTTAAAATTGACTGTAGACTTTAGCATGTGGATATCTTTATTAGTCTAAAATTTGTAGAGGTTTGGGGGGGGGGGGTTTATTTATTTTTTTGCCCTTTTCCCCTTTTTTGTCTATTGGTGGATCACGCAATAATAGAAAAAGGTATTTGAGAGTTTTAACCTGATAGTTCAGTGTTTTGTGTTGTAGACTGAGGTTACATGTTTAGGGTCACTTGGTGCCAATTTCCAGATAAAGATCTTTATCTTGTTATATTTTACAATTCAATATTTTTTTTTCCAAAATAAAACAAAATATGAGGCTTAAATTTCAGTAGACAAAGAACACATATATAGTAGCTTCAACATTTTTAGGAAGGTTTTACTTTTACTTTTTTTTTTTTTTGCTCTATCTATTCTTTAATGCCCAATCGATGCAAACTATTCACAAATTTCATTTCTACTCTATCATCCTCGCAGTCGCTGGCCTTGACTGAGTCTATTTCCATTATGGCATCCATTGATTTGCTCCGGCGCCTTTGTCATTTTTCTCTGCCGTTAATGTAATTGACTAGCTGATTTTTTTGCTCTCCCTCTCTCACACGTGCACCAATTCTGTGTTCCTCTTCTTGCCAGATGTTGCCCGAGCTATTGAGCTGCTGGAGAAGCTGCAGGAATCAGGGGACGTTCCTGGACATAAGCTGCAGTCTCTGAAAAAGGTTCTGCAGAGCGAGTTCTGCACAGCAATCAGAGAGGTGAGTCAGAACAGCTGTGGGCTGTTTTGTGTGTGTGACCTTTCTCATGCAACACCTCCTTATGAAATGTTTTCACACCTCTTTTCTATTGATTGTTGGGAGGATTTTTGCTCAAACTCAAAGCAAAAACATTTCTTTAAAGATAGTGTTTGAAAAAAATAAACTCTGTTATCTACAAATTGGTGTTTTTATTAAAAGGAAATATTCATTTCTCCTTTAAAAATCAATTCAGAGATTACACTGACCTGTATTTTTGTGAAATGTAGATCTGAGCTTAAATGATATTTCTTGTCACATCTTTAAGTATCTCCCCTGTGTTCACAAATATATAGGACTTTATGTTACTAATAGCCCTTCATCTTTTTACCATTCTGATGTTGCATAGTTTATTTAATATCCAATAATTCTGTGGTATAATTTAATTTACAACTCACATTTTTTAGTAATAACTATCAATCTATACTTTGTAGCGTCTCAATCAGTACTGATAAAAATTACACACAAAAATTAGGGATTTTTAGACAAAAACATACATGGCAAGATAAGAAAAGTGTGACAGCATTTTGGGGATGAAGAACTAGGAGAGACACTAAATCATACAATTAATAATCATTTTGAAAACAGGTTTTTAATTTCACATAACTGCATTGATCCATTTTCTCCCGCTAATACCTTGTGAGGGTCGTAGTGGGGCCGGTGCCCATCGCCTGCAGTCTACGGGCCAGAGGCGGGGTACAGGTTGCCAAACAGGACAATCAACCATTCACACACGCACTCACACCTAAGGAGGTTTTAGAGAAGCCATTTAACCTAACAGTCATGATTTTTGGACTGTGGAGGGAAGCTGGAGAGAACCCACAAGGGGAGAACAGGCAAACTCCATGCAGAAAGACCAGGAATTGAACCAAGAACCTTCTCTCTGTAAGGCAACTGCCCTACCCACTGCACGACCGTGCAGCCCCTTAATTGCACATTTTAAATTGAAATATTGAAGAGTGATAATCAATAGTTTTTATTAATCCATTATCAAATACTGTAATTTGAAAATGTATTTTCAAATCTCTAAATTAAAGACCATAATTTATAAATACCTTTCCTAAACAATTAAAAATTTCCTTTTTTCACCTTTCATTTTAAAATCCTGTTTACCATCTTCCTTTGGATTTTCTTTGCGGTTTTCCTCTGAGAGGAAACTTGTGTGGCCCTTCTGGTCCCTGAGAACACTGAAATCAATTTAAACCAATCACTGTTGCTCTTTGGATGTAACCAGCGCTCTCATTGGTCAGACAGCCACACCTGAATCACAACATGATGGCTAACATAGAAGGTACAGATTTGGTGCTCCACCTGCTCACCTTTTAAACCCAGAGAGAGTAGAAATCACGGATTTGGAAAAGTAACAGTCACACATCATCAAATTTTGAGAGAAACCCATCGTCTGAGTGCCTGATGGATGCTTCAAAGTTTTGCTTTATCTGAAGCAGTCTCTGTAAGTATTTATGTCAAACTTATGCATTCGAAAACTAAAGGATAAGTCTTGCAGATAAAATTGTACAATGGTGTGTGTGCTTCTAACTTTATGGGATCCAAATTGTGTGAATAACTGCTAAAGAAAAATTAAATTGTTATTATTTAGTCCAAACTTCCAATTTTAGAGTAAAATAAATCAAACTATAACTTTTATTTTAGGCATTTGCGTCACATAATCTGTTAAAGTTAATCAAATTATTGGAATTGGTCTAAAATATGGAGAAACTTGTTTATGGTATTAAATATAATAAACCTGCCTGGATGGGTTTTAACAAAAGGGTGGATTATACCTTTAAGCCGCAGCTGTGCCAGATCCGTCAGCAAATAGCCACAGCATAGTGAAAATGTCAGCTTTTACCTCTGCCTTATTATAGCTGCAGCTTAATGGCAAACCCTGGTTTATTTTACTATTTCTGACCACTAATGGTGATTGCATTTTGAAACAAGGTGGGCTTTTTGTTCTATTAAAGGCTTGATAAGCTTGTTACCTTTAAATGTAATTATGCTGCTTCCAATCTCACTGAAACTGGAGAAAAGTATAGTGGGAATTCTAAATCTTTCGCCGAGCCACCCAAAACATCCCCAATCTGATTCATCGCTGTAATGTTATTTATCAAGAGGACTGGCATAAAAAGCAAACAGGAGCTGTTTCTGCTTGTGGCGCCACTAAGCAGACTGATAACCACATATCATGTATATCTAGTGTTGTGATAAACCGTAGCATCATACGGTGAAGCAAACAGCAGCATTAAAGAGCAGGAAAAGCAGGTGACAGATGCTGCAATGGCCTCTATCTGCAAGTTAATTACAAACAGTCTAAATGCAATTTGGACCTGGAGTGAAGGAGTATTAGAGAAGTTGATCAGTATGTTGGAGGGAGTTTCACATTATCTACCAAGTCGACCTTCCGCTAACCTTAGCAGGGTGCTTTAAGCTCTCAGAACATGCAGCCACTCTTAATCATCCTGAAGTCGTTATTTTATTATCGAGTAAAACCTAATGGACTTGGGTAACAATGAATCGGTTAATTCTTTGGAATAATTACAATTTCTGCATCTTCTGAACAAGTAATTATAAACTTTAAAGTCTGTTTTTAACCCACTTTTAGTTTTTTTAGTTTTTTATTTACTGAAATCTTTTAGCATCGTCAGAAAACAGGTTTCATTTCAGAATAAACCAAATGTGCAAGATTTATGTGTACGTCTCAACAGTGAAGCGAAGTGTTTGCACCCTGCAAAGACTCCAAGATGTTATGTACAACTAAGCGTTGGATTACCAACTTCCATGTTTAACATTCGACAAATGTTTTGATTATCGTGCATTCATTTTAGAAAGAAACCACCCATTTCTTCTATATTCATGTAGATGGTGCAAAACTGATTACAAGAAAATTTCAGCACATTTAAACTGTGCAATGAAAGGGAGATGCAGTGAGGATCTCTGCTTTTAAATGAGAGTGGGAGAAGATGATGGATGAGTGTACAACCAGCAAACAAATATGCTTTTTTTTATCCACAGAAAACAGGATGTAACCACAGCAAAGGTACAAGGGTTACATTTTTATTCTGGCAGTATAGAACAAACTAGAGAAGCACATATTTGCGTCTGGCATTTTACAGAGTGATACTCTCAGTCAATTCTATTTATCTTTGAATCAATCAGATAAAAGGATGAGTCATTCTACCTTTGTTATATTTCTGTGGTGCTTTAACAACATCTACATTGCTTATGTATTCAGGAACGTAATTCCAGTGTGACTCCTCCGTATTACAGTCAAATACTGCTCTTGAATTTGTGGACGACCACTTTGCTTTTTTTTCCAATCAAAAGGACTATTTTTTCTCCATCTTTGCAGCTTTGAAAAATGTGACGACTAACTAGTGTCACATTATTGCATCTCCCTGACTTGATATGAGCATCGGTATTTATTGCATAGAATGCAAATAGCGCAAAAATAGATGCAAATAATGGAGTAAATTGTACTGCTTCAAGGATTACCCTCTATGGTCATAGAGGAAAGGATCCTGCACACCTATACACCACTGTATATTCATGACATTTAAAAAGTTACCTAGAATCTGCTGTGGTTCTTGAACTGATAGGATCAATAAACCCTCCAAAGTTTCATATCAATAAAAACCTTTTGATCACCATATTTCATTAATTATCAGTCAGGATACAAAGTACTTTCCCATTAGTTTCATTAATTACTATATACTCACTAAATGTGGGCTATAGAGGGGTAGATATTATGAAATATTCATGAAAACTGGCACCAATTTAAATTAGATTGTGGTCAGTCTAAAACCAAAGAGTAGGGTTGGTAATGAGTAAATACATTATTTTGGTATCTCAGCATGCAATTTTTCAGTTCTTAATGCAAATGTTTCAGTATTAGATTTCTTGCCCGATTGTTTGAATAATGAAAATTTTGCCACTGACTTCAAACAGTGATATGCATTCAATCAAACCTTGAGATCTACTTTTCCCATCATCAAGGAGTCTGTCCTCTGACAGAGCTGACCTCTGCTCCATCTCAGCTGAAGCTACATCTTGGCACCAAAGGCTCATCTGGCAACCGGCTGCTTCCAGTGGCAGTCACAGGAGTGCAATGACATCAATGCTTAAAAAGCATCAACAACAGCATCACCAGCAGCAGTCGCTCCTCACAAAGAGACACTAGGCTTCACCTACAGAAAGCTGGTGAAAGTCGGTCACCAATGAAACAACAGGGATGCTCAAAGTAAAGAGCTGCAGCAAAGAAGGCTAAGAAATTCAATTAGTTCTTTAAGGAAACTTCGTTACTAAATTTGATTATTTTTCGAATTAAATCAAATTCAATCAAAGATCTGATCCACTCTGAGTGCTTTGACAGTTTTTCATGCTTTGATCAAGAAAAAAAAGCCAATAAAAAGAAACGGAATCGAGAAACGTTCCGGGAAGAATTCTGGGCACGTCCCACCGGGAGGAGACCCAGAGGGATACCCAGGACACTTTGGTGGGGAATATGTTTCTCGGCTGGTCTGGGTACACACCTTGGGATTCCCCCAGAGAAAGTGGCCCTAGTGGCTGGGGAGAGGGACGTCTGGGCATCCCTGCTGAAGCTGCTACACCCGCGACCTGACCCCGGATGGATGGATGGATGGATGGATGGATGGATGGATGGATGGATGGATGGATGGATGGATGGATGGATGGATGGATGGATGGATGGATGGATGGATGGATGGATGGATGGATGGATGGATGGATGGATGGATGGATGGATGGATGGATGGATGGATGGATGGATGGATGGATGGATGGATGGATGGATGGATGGATGGATGGATGGATGGATGGATGGATGGATGGATGTTATTTTCAGCCGAGTCATGTTCTAGTTCCTCCCTCAATGACAACAAAAACAGATTAGCCATCTTTACCTCAGAAACCTATATATAGATTTAGTTTCTTCCAATGGCAGATCATCATAACAGTGTTTTATATGTGAATAGAAATAAAAATTACATCTAAAAACAATTTAAAGCATATAATGGCTTGTATTTCTCTTTTCTACCTCCTTATTTTCCTGGGTAATTTAATTAATAAACTGTGTTCAATTCTGCCTCATGTTCATAATCTGTCAGCAATAGCACTTTCAAGTATGTGTATATATTAATCATTTGACTTTTGATTTTAAATGTTTGTGCAATTATCTTTTTGTTCATGGTTTTATAGGCCACCTCAAAAACTGATAGGATAGAAGCACTAATCCTGCTTTTTGGTTCAGTCCCAAAAAAGTAAAAAGTCTGCAGTAACATGATTCAGCCTCGCTAAAGATGACAAGCTAGCTGTCAATATGAATAAATATGAGTAGGGAAAAGAGCAGCCTCAGCAGCGCCTGGATAAATGACAAAGAGATGGAGTTTGATGAGGTGGTTGTCTTTCCTCGCCACGCTCCGCAATGACAGGAAGGGGGGGGGGGATAACGGCTGTGTGCTCCAGTGGTGCTGCATCTCTATGTGCAAGTTCTCAGGGTCAATCAGCCTTGCAAATGGGAATAGAAGGACGCTAGACAAGAAGACTGGAAAAGATAAAAAATGCTAGAAATGATTGAGGAGAGGGAATTAGACCGCTAGTGTGTGAGATTCCCACTCCGCAAACATTGGCAGACCCATTAAGTTGGTTAAGTGAAAGAAAAAAATCTCTCTAGCTTTAAATTGCTAAATAATTTTATTGCCCCAAACATTTGCAATGGACATATTCAACATTAACCCGCACCATTTGTTAACAGTGTGAAGGTCTAATTAAGCTAATGTATAATTAGAACAAGGAATTTTCAAAATAATTTATAGCAAATCAGAGACTGCTGAACAGTTTTACATTATTTCCTTATTATGTTAATAATGTTTGAAGGCATGAGGAGGAAGATTATTAGTATAAAAATCTACTTTATTAATCCCTAAGGGAAATAAAGTTGTATTCACAAAGTTCTTTGGAACCAAATTTAGTTAAAAAATCTCTAAAAGATACCACAGCGCTCCATGTTTTCAAGGACAGGTAAATTGATGAAGGCAAGAGTCCAAGATTTAACTTGAATTTATTCGTGCTTCTAAATCTAAAGTAAAGTATGTCTGCTCCTAAAAAGGTTCAACAATAAGGTTTACCTTCATCTACAGGAGGTTTTATTCATGCATCCAGGAGAAAGTCAAGCCTTGATATGCAGATTTTTGTAAGATAGTAGGAAAATATACCAACGGCTGGAAGTTGGGGAAAATCTGAGCTCAAATAAAGGAAAAGGAGCAAATTACCTGCTTATCTGCTTGATTTAATACATAATACATTTAATTTTCTAGGGTATTCTTCCTGATAGAAATGTATTTTTTTCTAACCACCCAAACCATCTTTGAAAGAAAGTTTTGCATGTAATAACTAAGGTTCACTAAGGAGATGAATGTGAACTGTTTGTGAAAGCAGCTCTGGGTTAATGTCACGCTTCTGCTGACAAGGGTTGGAGTTTGAGTGAAAAAAAAGTGACTCATAACTATCTGTAGTCTTATGGCTTCTAGCAACAATCTTCCTTATTTTCCAATCTTTAGATTAACTGTTGCTTTTTTCTGACCTCAGGCAGCTTCAGGATTTATGTCTCATCCAAACCACAGCCAAAAAACAGCCTTAATAAAAGCACGGATATTTTGCTCTGAAAGGAAAACTACCTTGTAAAATCGAAATATAGTCCAACCTCCTTAGATATAAAGGCTCACCCACCTAATGTGGTAAAAAAAAAACATTATCTCTTGCTAGTTATTTTATTTCAATCTCAGATCTGTAGGGTTCAGAGAAAGACTTACAAATTCCCATCTCCTAAATAACGCATTACATCCCAGAAATGAATAAAGAGATATTCCTTGTGAACTGAGCATGCAGCTCTTATAAAATTAGAAGTCTGTGATGCACCCAGTGAGAGATCCCTCTTTGGTGGTGTCATGACTTTTCTGTTTGCCGACGTGCCGCCTTTTCTCATGCAGCAGATGCCAAATATTGCATAAGCTTTATCTGCAGCACTCCTGTCATGCTTGAATAGGGCCGTTAATAAACATTTGCACAATAGAGACAGAGGTTTAAAGACCCAAAAGGCATTACTGTAATAGCTAGATGAAGCTGCTACTGTTTTCAAATAGTGTCTGAAATGTGCCATGAGATTAAGGAAGGTGTTGGAAACAAATTAAATGGTTCTAAATGGCAATGGGGTTTAAAAGAAAGGAAAAGGAAGAATATGCATTATGTGTAAAAAGGTAAAAACCCAAATCCTTTGTGGCATTTATAACCTACGCTCAGCAAAGAGTGCACAGGTGGAAAATAACAAAACTTCTCATTTTGAAGCTGTGTATATAAAACTGCTTGTATGACCTGCAATGTTTCTTTTTTTCAGCAGAGCCCCAAAATGTGTTTCAGTCTGGGCTGCAGAGCTGTGCACTCAAAAGTAACACGTTTGGTCTTTGAGATTCATAAGCAAACAAACCAAGCGAAGCTTGGGGATATGTTTTTCCCTCGCTCTGAGATCTCTACACAGAAATATCACGATGTTTCTCTCCTTTAAGTACAGCTGTCTTTGATGATTCAGGAAACCAAGAGCTTTGTGATGTTGTGTGTCAAAGCTGCCCGATCTGCTCGTTTCCAATAAGCAGCTCGGCTATGATGTGAAACATACACTGCCTGAGAGAAGGAAATAGTGATTTAAGTCTGTATCAAGGCCACAAATCTAATATTCTGTTAAATTATCCATTTCATTATTTAACAGGTTTGCCTAATCATTTGCTTCGCTGACTAAAACTGATATCAATGTAATTTTGAAAAGCAGCCTCTTGTGCAAAGCTGCAGAATCCTTTAGATTCTTCTAATCTTTTCTGAAATGCATTTTTTAAATCAAATCTGTAGCGCCAGCTCAGCGAATTTTGTATAATCTGTAGGGTTTTATAGACAGCTCATCAACCCCTTTTAACCCCTACATCCATCACATAAAATTTTCATTATTTGGTTGCAGCAGGAATGGAGACATTCACTTTCCCTGCCACGCTTCAGTTTGCATCTGACAGAACATATGAGAGTATTTAAAGCCCAAATGTGTGCCCAAATGGCTGGTTAAACGTTGGTAAAAAAAAATTTAAAAACAAGTCAGTTTTTGCTGAGGAGAGATTAATGATAATGAGAGATAATAAAAAGCTTCCTCTTGTGCAACTTTTGAATTGTATTTTCAGCTGCAAATTATCCAAATTAGTCAGTTTAGCATCATTTTTGAGTTTAAGCCACATCTGGAAGAGTTCCTCAGGAAAAGGAGCTCTACAAAATAATTGAAGGTTTAAAAAGCTCTCTGATGAGGTGCTATTAAAAAAGTGTGTCTCAATTAACTATTGAAGATTTGTTCAAAACAAACCGAAAAACTTTTCTAGAACAATACTTTTCACACATCTTTACCAGCCTGTAGGTCATTGTGTAAAACATTTTGTAAAATCAATAAATGAATAACATCACATAGTTGAACTTCCTTACAAACTCAGACCAACTTTATAGGTTTTCCTTGTTTAATTAATACATAATAGTATCTTTTTTTAATATTTCAACATAGTGGAAATCTGCTTGCTTCCACACAAATGTTCCAACTGACCAACGAAGGATATTTCTATTCTATATGCAGAAATATGCAGTGAATTAACTATCATATTTTGTCCTGCATCAGTTTTTTTGGTTGTGTTTTCTTTTTTTTCCAATATTCCTGAACTGGTCTTGGAATACGCCAGAATTTAACTGGAGAGGTCAGCTGTCTGCCTTGGTTCCATCTGCTCCATCAAACTGGCAGAAATCCTTTTATTTCTTCATTCTTCTGGAAACTCGGCAACTTATGTCAGTGGCTGAGGTCAAAGAACCTTTTTCAGTCATGAACCACTAACTGGAATTAATGCAAATAGATTTTCGAAGAATGCAAACAGCTGGTTATTTGACATATTTTCTAAAATGAATTAGACAAACCTGTTTTCCTATTTAGGACAAAATAACCACTTTCCATTGGTGCAATATCTCACATTTCTAAAATGAATTATAGTACAACATTTTCCCCATCAGTCACATTATTGCTGTGAAGTCGGAGGATGTGAAGCCAACTTTGAAAGAATGTGGCTCTAGAAAGAAGAGATTTTATGTTTCAGTAGTGTGTAATTACACCACATGTCACTCTTCATTTGTTTCAGGTCTATCAGTACATGCATGAAACGATTACAGTGAATGGCTGCCCAGAGTACCAGGCGAGAGCCACGGCTAAGGTAAGAACTACACAGCAGATCTATTATACAAATATTTGACATAAAAAAAATATGAATTATAACTGAAACCTTCACATAATGACTGATAAATTATCCGTTAACCACATTATTCAGTGATATCCCCACCAGTGGTTTCTAGCCACCTCTTAATAGCCCTCATTAGGAGAAGGTGTGTAATTAGGACAAAGCATAAATGGTTGCACCAGAGGCTGTCCTGACATCCAAAGATAAAGTATGATATCAGTATACGAGGATGTACCAAAGGATGCTACGATTCCAAAACAAATCTTCTATTCATTCAGGCTCTTGCATACACGAATTAAGAATAATTTTAAATTGTGTGTTTTTGCTGTGAACCGACACAGGAGTGATCCCACGGTTAGATGGGAAGTAAGATGATAAATCCACTGAAAATTATTTAATTGGGTTTAAGTCGTTAAAATTCCTTCTGCAAATCAGCCTTGCTAAAATATCAACAGATGATTTACTCTGCATCACTGTTTTTGCTGCTGCTAATGCATTTTGCAGATTTTGTGCAATAAGAAGAGCATTTGGATGCATAATGCATTTTGCACCACTAGATGTCAAAGTCCTAAAAAAACTATTCTAATTAAAATAAACTGAAGTTTTTCATCTGTTCTCAAACACAGACTCAAAGAAGCTGTCCGATTTGTTTAATTTTTTTCACAACTTTTATTTCAATTATAATTTGTGACAACCTAATTATCTTTATTGTTTTAAATTAGTATTGAAAAACACCAAAGGACTTCAGTGTTTTTCATTATTTTTTCTGTAACAGACTCAAACTTCATCAAGAAGGATGAGCATGTGATGACAGTAGACGGGGCTTGCATTGTGTCATTGATTCTGCAGATCCCTCACACTATGCATGCATGCAACAGTGGAGGGTATCCAGCAGAGCCAGGCTCAGTGTGAGTGGAGGTTCATGCAGACAGAACCAGACAAAGAAGGAATGAATATAAAAATTCAATAAATGGTTGTAATGTCATAAAAGCAACTTTTTTTGTTTTGTTTAGGGATTTCCCAATACAACTTTTTCATTTCTAAAACAATGCTGATATTGTTGCTTTGAGAATTGGCCGATACAGATGTCGACTCAATATGGTTTTTGCACTAATCACACAAGATTTTATTACTACTACTAAAATACTAGTACTACTAAAACAGGGAACAAACATCAACAACAAAGTTATGAAAACAAATAACCCATGTATAATTAACCAATGAGTTATAGCCAGTGTTGTGGTCAAGACCACCTAACCCGAGACCAAGACAAGACCAAGACCACAGTGTATCGAGACCGAGACAAGACCAAGACTTTTAGGGTCCGAGACCAAGTCAAGACCAAGACCAGCGCCAGTATGTGACAATAAAATGTGAAACATGATCAAAATCACAAAAATTGATCTAAAAGACCCACATTCACATAAAAACGCCTAGATATTTAACACACAGAACTGGACTAAACATAAACATCTTTATTTAGTACTTCTGTGTAGTAATCACAGAATTTCAAACAATTAATCAAAGTCGATCAAATTGTATTTTCTCTGCCGTTCATCAGCAGTACATACATTTAAGTTGTTATTAAATATGCTATTTCAAAACAATGTGCAAAATTCTGTAAAATGTGTAAGACTGAAAAAAAGCCAATCATTTCTCGTTTCTTTCTCATATACAGATTTAAGCTATATTATATAACTTTTCTTAAATAAATCTATATCTGTCACCAAGTTGTGAAATATTATGAGACAGATAATTTGTTGAAAAAATAGATTGATCTCCTTCACTGCATTTACCAATGAGACAGGTTATTGCTTGGATTTAAATCCCAGCATCCAATAAAAAGAAGGATCTTAAAGAAACTGATAATATTCTGATGATTAGTGTTATTTCCACAGTTGTGGTCTTGACCGATCTTGAAATAAAATGCAGAGTCCTCAGCGCCCGAGACAAGACCGAGACCAAATGCGGTCAAGTCCGAGACGAGACCGAGACCATCAAAAAATGGTCTTGAGACCAAGACTGATCTTCAGTACTACAACACTGGTTATAGCAACATTTAACAGAAGCAAAGCATTTCTATCAGCTTGAAACCATCGTAAGTTTTAAATGCTGGCCAATTAAATATGATTTGTTTTTGTTGTTTTTTTTTGCCAATATTGGACCAATATTACTATCGGAACAGGTCATCCCTATTGGTGTTACAATCCTGAAAATGTTCTATTGGTAATATCATGCTAAATGTAAGATAATAGACAGGATTTCCATAAGCGATTATCCCAGCTTTTTCAAACTAAATTGAATTGCATTACATTTTTTGTACATAAGGATACAGTATGTTTGAAATGATTGATTACCTTTTATGACACTCAGTTTAGAAATGTATCATCCAAATTCAGCCCACATGCTTCCAGTCAATAACAGATTTGCTACAATAACTCAAAATGTGGTTGAATGTTCATGAGGTGAAAGATAAAGACAAGCGACGGCAGACTATTGAGGAGAGCTTTTGGCTGTAGATTGGAGGTCTGAGGGAAGGGGCACTGGGGAATAAGGACTGCTGGCTGAATATGAAGCAGACAGGCTGGTTGGTTGGGCAGGTCAGATTCCAGTCAAAACATTTGGGATAACTGGCTAAAAGAATAAACAAGGGGTATCAGCAATCACTGAAATGTGGAAGAAGAAAAAAAAACACATGAAGGATAAAAAAATATATATAAAAGCTTTTTCATTCAGAGACTAAATAGTCTGTTTAGCTGGAAAAAAAGAGCACTAAAATGCTGCTGATTTGATGACTACATGGATGAGAGGCGTGTGGGTTGTGAATCTAGAGCACCCACTACACAAATGCATGCGCACACCAACACAAGCCTCCTCCACCAACAATACAAACAGATTATCTCAAATCATAGGGCAATATGACAGTGAAAGTACCTTTAAAATAATTTAGATTATAGATTGAATCTCAAAACCTTTATCTAATAATAATTATTTTCTTTGCATTTTCAAATCTCTCTCATTCACATAATGGTTATCTCATTTTCAAGCCCCTGATTTATTTGTTTAATGTCGTTTCTAAGGTTACATATCTGATACAGATAGAGACTTTATTGAAAAGAGATAAAGATGTCTTTGATTTTATGTGGAAAATTGTAGGAAATTCTCATTTAGGTTGCTTGATTGCGACCGTTTGCTGTGTCCCTCATCAGTTCAGTGTCCAGCTGAGTCTACTCCTCTTCATCACATCATGATAAGTGGGTGGAAGGAGTGAACAGAGTGGAATGGCAAAAACAAAGAAAGTGTGTGCCTGAGTATGAATGCAGTTATTCCTGGTACTAAGCTTAAAGAAATCAGAGAAACTCAAAAGCTTTTTCGTTCATTAAATTTCACATTTACACCAGTAGGAGAGAGTGAATCAACGTAATAAGTGAAAAAATCTAAAATTCCTCCTAAACAACAATGTACATACAATTTCTGCTTAACGGTTATTCTACTACAGATGAACCAAAATCCACCAATTCTGTTTTGGAGGGATATCCAAGCATACTCCACAAGTAGAGTGTTCTTTATCTATGAATGCGATTGCATTGCTTCAGGTGTAAGAGTGTGCAGCTTATGTTCTACTAATGAGAAAAAGTTTGCATTAGATTAAAATTTTAATAAATTTTTTTGTAGCTTGTCATATTCTGAGGAAAAAAATAACATATTTCAAAAAATAAGACAATTTAATTGTGTGTAAAAGATAAAGAGAAAACCAAAAAAAAAAAACAGCAAAAAACACTTAACTTCTGTGTTTTTGCTAACTAAAGCACAGGTTTTTCATGTTAAATAAGACTGAATTTTAACCTGTTTACCAGGAAGTGTCGTGAGATGCGCGTTTGTGCTTTTGTTGATCACTCGCACCAGAGTAGGGTATCTCCGCCCAACGAACATCAGACCTAATTTTCTACCACGCAGCTAGAGCAGCAAAGATGCTTCAGAACTAAACTTGGCCAAGCATCAAAAATGAAGCAGCACGCATGTTTTTGCCGCTTCTTCTGCGTGCAGTCTAAACGTAGCATGAGGCCCTTGTTGTTCACTGCAAATCTGTTGGCTTAATAATGTTTTTGAGAAATCTGTACGCTTTGAAAACGGGGTCCTCTGTTCTGAGCCTTCACAGACTGATCTAATGGAGTATCCTTGTTCCAGTTTCCTTTGAGTTATTTTCTCATTCAACACAAACATGCCTAACATTCACCTTCTGATATCCTGTGGTCATTACTTAACCTTATATCCTTAAAGGAAACGGGCTTGATATTTTCACAAATCATTTTTTTTTTTTTACATGTGAATGGTCTTTAAATTGTAGTGTTGCATTTTTCCCCCTTTTATTGAGGATATTTTGGTAACACAAATGTTAATTCACATCCACAAGTTATTATACTGAACTCTGACACATTTAATCTGCAAGGAGGATAGGTCTGCACAATTTAGGTAAGACCCCTTGAGGCATCTCTGCCCCATTTGGCTAATGTGCTCATGGTGACATAAGGGACAGTGGTCAGGGGGAGGGTAGAAAGGCTGTGCACCAGCAGCAGTAAAAGCCAAACACTTTATTTATTAGGGATAATAACCAATACTGTATCTAATAATGCAAAGGTGATTCTATTTTTTTTTATAGCAGATATGGCATATTGTAGAAAATATATAGATATATGTATAATTTCCTTATTATCACATTTTATTTAGTTTGTTAAACGTTAGATTAGTTAGTTAAAGGGTTTCAGTCATTACTGTTTTAGCATCAAAGCTATGCATCATTAAATCAGATAGATTCGAAATTCTACTTTTACATAGATGGAACAACGTTTAAATTCTAAAAAAAAAATTGGTTAGAAAAGGTTTAGATAGCTGTTGGCTGGTAAAGTTAAGTAGAGATTAAGATCTGAGTAGATAAAATCAACAAACTGCACTGGAAAAAAATCAAAATCTACATAAGTCATTTTTTCTTGAATTTAGGGGGTAAGTGAGACACTCCAATGGAATAAGACAATTCACATTTAAAATAAGAAAAAACAAATCCATTGTCTTATTTCATGTGCATATTATCTAATTATTTTATTTTAAGAGTAAATATCCTCATCCCATTGGCAATAAATCTTATTTACCTACTCAAATTAAGGGTAGATACATTTAATTTAAGACATTTTAAATTATTTCTAGATGCTTTTTGCAGTGTGAATACACATCCCATTCTGACTGGGATTGACAAGTTACTTTTAACTTAATATTGAGCTTAGCTTCTGTTTTAGACACAACACTTTCAACAATTTCCCTTTTCCCTATTTCTATAATGAACTAATTACAGACTGGCTTTAATTCAAGCCTTGGTTTAGCACTGGAACAGCTTTTGTTGAAAAATCCTGGTTAAATAAAAGTGGGACCAACATATTCCCCCTTCCATCCTCTAGCAATCACGTGTAATGTAGAGTAATGTTGCTCTCAGACGAACAAATTGCACTACAAACATATTTTTCTTGGCAGAGAGAGAAAAAGATGCCCTGTATAGCTAATTTTTTTACTTAGAAAAGGACATTTGTACCAAAAAGTTACAGAAACAATTAGAGGTCTGTGGAGCCGGGTTGAATGAGCCAAAGAACAGCAACCATCTAGAAACATCCAATTAAAAAGCCATTTTAAATGCATCATAAAATGTAATTGTTGATTGAAATTAAATTGCAAAAACAAAGGGGAAAAAAAGCCTTCATTGGCCGACTTCGTTTCAATTTAACTTCGAAAACAACATAGCAAATCTCTCCTGGCAGTAAAGTCTCGTGCTTGGCGAGCACATTTATCTTTGACTCAATAACTCATATTTATTTTTTTTCTTTTTCTTAGACATGATCTGAGAATAAAGCGGCTCTCTGCGAGTTAAGCCATCCTCGTACAGTTTAGGGAGTCTATCCTCCAGCAAGCCTTTAATTTAAAATCCCCTCTGTGAACAAGAGGCGCCGGCCATCTGCCAGATTATGTTTTTTGTTTGCAGAAAACCAGATAAAGTTGTGAAGGTCGATGCGCTGCGAGTTCTGGGAGGCGACAGTATGCATGCTGAGAAGCTGCCTTCACGGTGGGACACGGAGGGCGAAAGAGGAGATGTAAAGGGAGAAAGGGCAAAGAAAGCAGATGAAATGGGAAGGATAGGCAGTTTAAATCTTCAATAGATCATCATGCAGGGAAGAAAAGTGTAGTCATTTAGGAATACAGTTTAACTTTAAATGAATTTGGATTTGCAAAGTTTGGAAAATGATGTATGAGTAAAGATTGGCATGATGTAATAACTCAACGTCCTACTTATCCGCTGTCGGAAACAGGGATGCACATCTGCAAAAATTTCACACAGTTCTCCTTTTATGTTTTTTTTGTTGTAATGATCTGTGTCTGCTGTGATAAATGGTGCTGACTTAACCACTGAAAAAAAAAAAAGAAAAACAGTGGGAAAGGAGTGCCTCTTTCACTGTATTTCCACCATTAGCTTTCCTAAGCTTGGCTAAAAAGCTCCATGCCGCTTTGTTCTGAAAGTGAAAGGCTTGCGGTTCAAAGAAACCCCACAGCTGGTGGAGATAACGAGGGGAGAGCTGTCTGGCAGCTTCTTCGTCCTGAACTTAGATGTGCTAATCCATGTGTGCTGAGAGCCAGAAACTTCTCATGTAGAATATAAAAATCCTCGTCACTGACTAAATCCTGTCTTTTTGTCATGAGCATCTTTGCAAATATAAAACGGTAACCTCACAAATTGCACTTCATTTGGATTGTTTTCATAACCTCTTCATAAATATTTGCAACTGAAAGTTAGCAGCTACAAATTGTTGTTTCCTTGTATTCATGTCAATGAAGTGAATACAAGACAAACGATTTCTGGTGTGTCATTCCTTAGATTGCCACCTACTAATCTCCTTTAAAGGGGAGCAAAAATGCTAGGTACCCTATGGAGCATCTGAGCATTTTTATAGTATTGAAACCAAGCAGGCAAACATATATGTTTTTGTTTGTTTTTGTTTGCTGTTGTGAGGAAATGTAATTCCTCATCTGCCCATCCAAAGAACATCATATCTTTAAATAGGTTTATAGTTTTTGAAGACAGGTGCATAAGAGACATTGGTGTCATAAGTTTAACATATAATCTAAATACAGAAAATGCTTTTATATTCATAAAATTTATTCAGCAGAGTGATTTATTGATATCCTTTATTTTTCTTACGATTTAATCAACTGAGTTAATTAAAGGGTATGTTGATAATCTCTATCATATTTTAATTTAAAACCATATATAGATAAAACAAATAAACCGCCTTTTATTCCTGAAATGTTTAATAAACATATTCATTATTTTAAATTAACGTGTTAAAGTTTCAGCCCTAATTTAAATGTTTTGTCTAATAACTTGGATTTAACTTGGGCTCCTTTGGATGAATTACTGCACTAATTACTGTTGCAGGGAACATGTTACAAAACTAATATGTTACTGTAATATAATATAATTAGGCAGTAACTGAGATGCATTACAATCTAAATTTTAGTAATATTATTACAGTTCCTAAGGCAGTAAACGCTTTACAATTCAAACTTTCAGTTTTGAAAAAGAACTCCTAGGCCAACAGCTTAAATGAAGGCAAATTTTCCCCCATTTTGTTTTTAAGACAGTTTAAAAACAAAATAAGATGGTTTCAAAATAATTGAAGAAGAAGAGAGCTTTAAAACATTAGAAGAAGAAGATGAAAAGATGGCTACAACGATCAGTTTAAGGCTTTTTAAGTGGCTATACTCGCAGTAATTACAGTTTAGGTTCATTTTGAAATAGTATTAACTGTCAGGTTTTATTTGATGAATATTTAACTTGATTAAAGCTTTTGTGGCCGCACTCAGGAGCTAATAAATGAGTCATTAATAAAGAGAACTTGTGTCATTTAAAGGTTTTTGTTGTTTAATTATTCTAAATCATATTTTGTGATTTAGCTCTTCGTGGAAAATTATTGTGCACCTTCATTTTTTAATGCCTTGTCCTAAAATGTTTGTTTTGGCAAAAATAAGTAAAAAGTAACCAGTAACCTATTACTTTACAGAGATAGTAATGTGAAAAAACATTACCCTCTAACAAAGGTAACACTGGTATTAATTTATTTGTGGATGGAGACCATCAGCATGTGACCATGCTGATATAAAGAGGTCCAGGGTGGGCCCATACTTCACACTTTTTCCTTCCACTCAACTTTATAATTCACTTTTGGGGTCAGGCTTTCTGAAAAACCCAATGGTCTGTTTGCATTTTTCCACTGTTTTTATTCAAGAGGAAGTTTTCTAAGAATCTGAATTTTAGATTTATTTTAGCTGTAAGCCACAGTTGTCATAAATTAGAATGATTATAATTAAATGTAAACAGATGCAGCTGTAACAAAAATATTTCTTGCGATTAATGCATTTGAACAGATGTATTACTAATACCATGTGTTTGCGGACAAGTTAAACTATAGTTACATTAAGTTCCTGCATAGTTTGCTCCCAGAGAGATTAGTAGAACTGATATGTAAATAAAACAAGAGAGATAAAAGTAACGGTGCAACCATCTCTCTGTTGGGAGGGATTGTATCGTGGATGTAGGGTCACCTCTAAAGTTAGAAAAGATGCAGAGAAAGCAGAGTATGTCCAATCTAACAAAGGAAAGCAACATATCTAATCAAGAAGATTAACAAAGGCATGACTGAGCAGCCATGTTTTTATGTCAGTAACTTAAACAGATGGCTGTTATTAATTCTGTATATCAGGTTTGTTAATGTGCAGTATGAAGCTGAAGAGCCTTATGATGGCAGCATCATACAAAATGTGGTTTAGAAAATTTTTAGAAAATCATAATTCACAGATTTTAGTTTGACATTTTTATGTTTTTTTAATAGTAATTTCAAGTTAAGTATGTATTAAGAATAAAAGATTAAAGACCCATCAGAAGAGTGATGCTAAATAATGTCATAATCCTTAAAAAGAAAATAAATCTAATTTTTAATGTTTAATTTAAAGAATAGAATATTTAAGGAACACCGCTTCCTTGAAGCCAACCTATCTTTCCCAAATAGCATCTAACCTTTTTCTCTTATCCCTAAAGGCCACAGTTGCAGCCTTTGCAGCCAGCGAAGGTCACTCTCACCCACGGGTGGTGGAGCTTCCCAAGACAGAGGAAGGGTTAGGCTTCAATGTGATGGGTGGCAAGGAGCAGAACTCACCTATATACATCTCCCGCATCATTCCTGGAGGTGTGGCTGAAAGGCACGGCGGCCTAAAACGAGGGGATCAGCTGCTGTCTGTCAACGGTGTGGTAGGTCGGACCCTCCTTTCGTTATTATGCTGCATAGGAAGAGGAGATGTTTTTATGAAGCATTAAAACTGTCTGAAAACACTAATTAGGAGAGAAACTGTATCAAGGTCAAAATGCTGTGCACATCGCCGGTGGGAAAAAGAAACTTCCTTACTCTAGAATTCATTAAGAAACTGTGACTCTGCCTCAGCCTGTATAATAATACGGTATTTAAATGAAGGGAACATTAAGAAGTTGTAAAACTATATTAAAATTCCGTCCTCTGTGACCCCATCCTGCAGAGTGTAGAAGGAGAGCATCACGAGAAAGCCGTGGAGCTGCTGAAGGCGGCCAAAGAAAGCGTGAAGCTGGTGGTCCGCTACACCCCCAAAGTGCTCGAGGAGATGGAGGCTCGCTTCGAGAAGCTCCGTACGGCGCGGCGGCGTCAGCAGCAGCAGCTCCTGATGCAGCAGCAGCAGCAACAGAATCTGGCTGCTCAGCAAAATCACATGTCGTAGGTGAGGCGCTTCATTACTTTAAGGGTGAGGGGTGGGGGGCAGTTAGTGGGATATAATAACACACCTGCTATTCTTTATGGTTAGAGTACCAGCAGCCTAATCTGGCTGCTGCTAAGTCTTAGAATGACAGGTTTCCAAATGTTGGCTGGTAATGTAGGAATAATCTGATCCGGGTCTGGAAACGCTTCCTAGTTTAAGTGTACTAAAGTAATGGTCTGTTCAAGAGATTTCAGCTTTTACAGAGTTTGAAATCTAATGCCCCTCCAAAGCATGTCAGTTTTTTTATATACCAAAACAGTTAGTTAAACACTAGATCAAAGACATTTTAATTTCCTTAAATTGTTCTCTGTTACCTTACTCACCTTTGTGTTTCTGTTAGAGCATCGCTTTTTCTTGAAAGAGATCAAACATTTTGCACATCTTGAGTTTTTCCAGACAAATTAATTATGAGGGGCATAAGAAATGTGCATGTTTAGTTGTGCAGATGAAGCATTTTTCAAAGCGCTGACAGGCGATAGTTTTAACATTTTATGTATAATATGAACATCAGGAGCAACAGATTCCTGGAGCTGTTGCTGCTGTAAACAGACCAGCCTTATAAAGACCGTTTTTAAATCTGTTGATAGCCTCTTTTTTTAAATACCTCATCCATTTTCCCTAAAGTTTCCCAGAACAAATACTCAAATCTTAATTGTTTTTTTTTTCTTCTTTTGAGCTAAGCTGCAGCCGTGCTTTGTGTAAACGCTTTAGCTTCCTGTTTTTCTGTCAACGATTTTCATCTTTTAATTCACATACATATGTGACTGGTAGATAGCAGGGATATGCATAGCAAAGGAATGCATAGCTTTTGAATTTTTGGGATCCACAGCTTAGGTTGTTGACTATGTTAACAGAAAAACTAGTAATCCAACCCTCTGCAGATCTGAACTTTATAGCAGAGAAATTAGAAGTATTTTTTATTTTTAATTTTTTTTTAAAGCCATAAGAAGCCTTTTTAAAGTTGGTATTCCATGAAAGGGATACAGCAGCCCTCTAGGAAGCTACTTAAATGATCAAATGAGACTGAACTGAATTACATTTAGGAAAAGTAAAGCTGCAAATAACCCTTAGCACACCATCCCACCCATCCTATGGATGTCTTCCCAACAAAAATGGATGTAGAAGGAGCTTAATACGGGACAGTTTTGGAATAAAATCAAAGAAAGCAAAGAATAGGACTAAATATCCACCCCCCAGCAGAACAACAGCCCTTGCATTTTATAGGTTTATCCTACCTCGTGTTGGTCAATCACATTCAATTCCAATTAAACAGCTCTTAACTGTATGCTTATGGTGGTATGTTGACGATATGAAATAGTTAAACAATTATGCTGTTGTTAGCTGGAATAAAGCTCTGAACTTTAAAGGTATTTTTGGGCAAATGTTCACCAAGTTTCAAAGTTCTTTAATGCCTCAAACAATAATCAGGCAGAAATTGTCTTGCAGGGCATTACTCTGCACAACTAACTCCAATTTCTCAATTGTTTGTACGATATGCACGCTATCCTGGGGGGGCGGCATGTGTCCAGGTTCTCTGTGGTCATTTTTATTGAATTTCTGAGGCACATCTGTTTTTTGAAACTAGGATTGAGTTTGAGAGCTTGGAACCGAGTAGAGTTGCTGATACTGATCAGAATAGAAATCCTGTTCAATCGACCAGAATCCAAGAGTACAACATAGGATGCTATTATGAATTTCTGTGAATGAGTGTGAAGTCGTGGCTCTCAGCTCGTCTTTTTTGCTTTGTTTTTGTGCTCCACAGGTTGTTCCAGAAGAAGAAGAAGTAGAAACGTTGAGCGATGGATCGTAAAGATCACTTGTACGCATCGAGGGTCCCAAAGGAAATCTCTTTGTAGTGGAGGAAATCAACAATAAGACTCTCTTGACCTCCTCAGTCTCCCTTCCAGTGAACCACCGCTTACTGAGCAAAGAGAGAATTTGGTGTGAAACTGGTGCTTTAAAAAAAAACATGCTAAGTTGTCTAGTTAACTTTGTACTCCCTTTTCTAGTTTTCTGTTCTCCAGTTGTGGATTTTTAAAGCTCCTCTCCTCGTCTTCACCCTTGATCATTTTCCCTGATTTTAATTTTTAATCCTTCCGTCCAGCTTCTGCCAGTACCCCAGAGTTACCGTTTGTAAAATGGTGTTCCTATCAACTCCTCATTTCTGGTGCTTGTGTTTCATATGTATGATTTCTCGTCCCATTTTTCGATAAACTGTTTTTTACCTTCTCTACTGTAGCAAGAGCATATTTTATATCTTGTAGTTTTAGCAATAAAACATTTGGTTCAGTTCATAATTATTCATACAGAGTCGATAGGTGAATGAAAACACAGTAAAGCAAACAGCGTCTCATTTACTGTAAGGCAGCTTCCAGGTTCAAATCCTCTCTACTGTTAGAAGTTGGTTAATTAGAAACATGTGCAATTAATGTGCAATATCTGAAAACGATGAATCTATAACCCCAGCTGAAATGAATCTAGGAAATGTTTAACAAAGAATACTTAAACCTCTGTTCCCGACAGATAAACAGAATGTCAGCTGATTTAAAGGATATGCTATAACTATTTTTATTTTTTAGATTATTGTATTTTAGAATAGAGTTTAAGTAAAGTTTTATCATTAAATGTGTATTCTTTATTAAACATGCAGATTATTATTTGTTGTGTGATGGCACATATATATGGATGTATTTTTCCCTATTTCTAACAATCATGAGTGAGAAACTGAGTAATTTTGACATTTAGTTTTCTGCCCTTTCAGAAAGTTTTTTTTTTTTTTTTCTGATCAGAAAAGTATCTGAACTACAAAGCTAAAGTAGTAACCTTTCCATTAGGCCTGTCTTTATTCTCCTTTGCTGTCAAATACTCCTTTGTTTTGTCTTTAAAGGTTTTTATCTTTATATTTTAAATCCCCATTTTTTCAGTTACTCACACACTTTTCTTTGATCCTCTAACCATGAGAACTCACCCCTCGATTCTCCTTCTGATGTTTAATTCCAAAATGAAACTTCAAAAAATATGACCCAAGTATGTTTTCTTTTATGCATTTTTAAGAAAAGATTTTTTAAAAGCTTATTGGGCATGTGGTTGCAATGTTTTTCACAGCTGGGAACAGAATGGAGGCAAAAAACTCATTAAACTTAAGCTTTTAATGATTTATTAAACCATTCCTTTTCAGAGGTTGAATGTTATTATAACACTACTGTTAAGGAAAACAAAATACATTGATAACACAGGTTTGAATTAAATCCATATTATTTACATCCCATTAATATAAAAAAAAAAAATCCTTTAGCAAGTTACACCTCAACCACACTCCTGTAGCAATCAACAAAGATGCTGCCAAATTATCAATTCATATTTCAGACCTCTAATAAAATTAATATCTAGGGTGTTTTAAATTGTTTTTTTTTTATTTTGTTAAATATGAATGAGGTCTTGGTTATTATATAGACTTAATATGAACCAAAGCGTTTATGATTAGCAGTGTCCAAATCATGAATTATTAGATGTGAAGTTTAATTATTGCCTCACAAACAGCCGATCATCCCACTACATTATGCTGCCACCATGATTAACAGTTATGTTTTGTTCCAGATTTTAGCCCTAATCAAGACTCCTAAATAGATTTATTGTTAGTTTATGAAGCTGGTCCAATCTTTAAGTATTCCGTTTTATTCATGTTTGGAAATTTCAGATACGATAGCAGGTGACCATTTTGGAACTATTTCTTATTTGATCCACTCTGACAGATTTGGAACGTGTTTTTCCGAAGGTAGTGACACATCTCACAGTTTACAATAGCTCAGAACCTTAATTGGTTTCTGAATTGGGTCTTATAACCATTTCCAATTAGCTCCAACAGGACAGAGATCACATTAAATGAGCTTTTTAACTAGAAAAAGCAGGCTAACATTAACCCTATCAGAAAGGTGAAGCTTTTTTTCCACTCTTAAAAAAAACAATAAAAAAAAAACAAAACAATAAAAACAATCCACTGGACTTTGTTTCCAAGTTTGAAAACATTTCGCTTCCCATCCAGGAAGCTTTTTCAATTCAAAAATATTCAAATTTTGTATTCATTTAATATTCAAATATTCAATTCAAAAATTCATTTTTAATTGAAAAAGCTTCCTGGATGGGAAGCCAAACGTCTGTATACTTGGAAAACAAGTCCAGTGGATTGTTTTTAATTTTTGTTTAATGACTATGACCTTGATGACAGAGAATCTTCACCAGCATAAAAAAAAACAATGGTTAAAATAACTATTAACGCTTAAATATATTAGGACATTTAAAAGCATAATGAGGCTTTGTAAACCTCTAAGATGAACCGCAGAATATGGATCACAGATCTGCCTTTATAAATAACACTCTGCTACATACGATAAGCATTCCCCAAGCACCTAAACGCTTCATCATTTGATGGTTTTTATATTTAATTCAAACACATCTGTCCCTTAATAACCCTCCAACAATATGAAGCTTAAAATAATTTTTGTATCTTTAGACCAGTTTTTCATAATTGATTTACACCTTAAAAAGGATGATAGTCGTGTATCATGAAGATGACACAAAAATACAACAAAGTGTTGATATGCAATTGTGATACATACTATATTTGTATAAATAAATCTATGTCCTTGTGTACAGTGTACTGCTTTGTGGTCTTTTCTGACATCACATAAGTTTAGACAAATGTTTAGCAAATGTTATTTTTGTAAAATACACAGGTCAACTGGTTTTTCATGTTTTTATATTCCTATAATCTGAAAACACGATGAACTGTTACAAAACTCAGATGATATTTAGGAAGAACTTAAGGGTAAAAAATTGGAATAGCTTGAATTTTCACTATGAACAGTTTGTGCAGCTGCTTTCATGACGTGGCTCCAAGAAGAAACCTGATGAGAACATTAGTAAAGAGCGATATAAATTGTTGAGTGGCAAATTAGACATCTGTGTTTCAGGGTACAGCTTAGCGTTTAGGAAAGATGGCATTCTGCAAAGTCTGTATCACTTTTCTTGTCAAGGGATCACAAGGTTTGTTTACTGAGATAATTTTATAAATATCTCATGGCTATACATACACTCTGTGATACAGTGAGGACCGTATTCTCACCCAGCTGGGCCACGGTTCCAGGATCTGACATATATGCCTGTCTGGACAGTGAAATCCTGTATCATTTATATAAGTAACTGTCAAAGTGATCCAAAGAATCTCACAATTTGAGCTGATCTTTACTATACAGGTCCTTCTTAAAATATGCCAAAATCATCCCTATTAAGACAATAAAAGACCTGAAATGTTTCAGGTAGTGTGCAAAGAATATAAAACATATGAATGTTCAAGTTTTATCAATACATTATGCAAAATAATTAACTTTATCACAATATGCTAATATTCTGAGAAGGAACTGTGTGTGTGTATATATATATATATATATATATATATATATATATATATATAAAAATGTAAATCTAGCTTGATATTATCAATTATACAAGAAGCAACTGAATGCCAGAATGCCATGAAAACAAATAAAAAATAATAAAAGGTTGGTCTGTCAAAAAGGAGGTAAAAGAAAAATAAATGAAAAACAACACATCTTTTCAAAAAATTTTCTTGATGCATTTTTGTTTAAGTTCCTTTTTCCTCTGAATTAAATTTAAATCGGGTATTCAATGAAAGGGCATGTAACTTTTTCCCGAACAGCTGATTGGCTGCTGGGTGAAGTGTTTTCTGGGATTCAGATCAATCCTGAAAGCTGGCCTGCTCCAGAGCAGAATTGCCATTCAGAGTATGTTACCAAGGCGACTACCCTCGCTAAGAAAGAATTGAGAAAGTCAGGGTTAAACCTGAAGTTGTCTGGTTAATCCTGTAATCCTGCTTTGTAATTCAGGCCTCTGGTGGGAAGGGATCAGGTTTAAGAACCATGATGGAGAAAAAACTTTTTCAACTCAGTCCGAATATTTTCAGTAATACTGAGATCAGGGTTTTGGGGGGCCAAAACAAAGTACTAAACTAATAGTCTACTTTTGCCATTTAAAAAAAAAAAATGCTGGGGCTCATTGTCTATCTAGGAGACCCATCTGTTCCAAACTTTAACTTCCTGATTGATGTCTGTAGATTTTACCTCCTGTTTCTCTATTCATATTCTCTCCACACTAATCAATATAATATGTGAGGTGCACCCCGCTTATACTATAAAAACCCAACACTGCCACTGCTCAGAGGCGTAGCTAGAACATTTTTATAAGGGTGGCCAGGCAGTAACACTGAGGGGGGGGGGGGGGGGGGGGGGGGGCAAAAGTGGGTAGGCGAAACCTCAGGGTCAGTCTACACTGATCCTACAGGAAAAATAACAAGCAAAACATCCATAAATAAATAAAATAAAGACTAACTTTACTTTCGTACAGCCTTTTTCTAACAAATAGATGCATATATTTAAACATATATTTAGACTTCTGGGGTGAACGTCTTTTCCAGTATCATTACTCACCTACTTTTATCAATAATCATTATGCATAAAATTGACATTTACAATTAATATCTGCATAAATTGATTATTTCATACGTTTTTACTATAATAGTTATCTATGATTTCACTGAAGACTCCTTGATAATTTGCAGAGATGCATAATTTTCTCTTTACACCATATAACACAAAATCTAGATCTGAAAAGAGCAGGAATTCTGTACTCATCTTTCATTTTAGTACAGCAGTGTGCATAATTAATTAACAATAGTGTTTTTCATGTCAAGTAATTGTTAATGTATGAAAAATTTACACTTTTTGAATATTCCACTTTAGAGTATTACTGCTGCCATCATCTGTATTAAAGGGAAAAAACGGTAGGGGTGGCCACAGGGGGGCCAATGATTGGCTAAGGGGGGCTATGGCCCCCCCTGGCCCCCCATCTAGCTCTGCCCCTGCCACTGCTATATCCATCCATCTCTATTTTCAGATTGTGTTTTTACAATCTTTTCTTTTTCTTGTCATTATGCCCAAAAAACATCCCTTTAAGTTGCACAAGATCACAACTTTAGATGGCAGGAAATGTCCCAAGAAAATTAGATCCTGGTTCCATAAAACATCGGTTTGCAAAGGGATAATTCTGCCAATTGATTCTTCCGAGCTTTGTGGCCTTAAAGCCCATGTCAGTACAATTTTAAATTAAAAGAAATTTTAATTAAAAGAGGAAAGGTTTAGTTGGACTGAATGCTCAGGCAGTGAGTAAAAAAAAAAAGGAAAATATATGTATTGCCTCATTCATGATATCCTTCATCGTTTTG